CTTTTATTTTTCATATTGCTGCTCTAAATATCTTTTATTTAGTTTTATATTTAAATCTATAGTCTATCTAGTTTCACTGAAATTTATTTGCTTTCTCATCATTACAATTACTTTTATAGTTATTTTTATAATAATTATAATTATTATTGTTATTGTTACTATTATCGCTGTTATAAATTACGCTGTTATCAGTTACTAGGCTTTTAACTTATATTTTTGTTTTCATAATGATTATTCTTAATATTATTGTTACTACAAGTTAGTTATAAACAAATTAAATAGGTGTTTACTTCAGATTAAAAATTAATAATATTTGTAAATATACATTTTGTAATGACTTATCAATACATATTATACTTGATTTTGACTTTAATTTGAATAATTTGATAAGATAATAAGACAAGAATCCGTTGGCAAGACGCATATCTTTTAGAACACCTGGGTCAATTTATACATTCAGTCCTTCATAAAATTTGTCACCACGACGAAGAGTTGTACATGTGTTATGAAATAAACACTCATAAAAAAATGTAAATATAAAAGTATAAACAAATGTAAAATGTAAAATACTCCTAAAAGAGACGTCGTTTGAATGTAAGCGAAATCAGTCAACCATAAACTTTATTGTTGCTTAATACATTTATTATACATAATATGAAGAGAGTTGAATAAAATTATTTTTTCTTATTTTTTCTAAAATGTTTTGCTTTAATTTTTTTTTTCTAATTCATCAATACCTAAGCATAATTAAGTTTCTCTCTTAACGATCTTTGAACCTGTCTTGATGATCTTTGCTTTCTCTAAAAATTGTTTTTTTTTCCAAAATGTGTTTTAAATTTTCAATTGGCTTGTCACTTTAGCGCTTATAAGATGTTTTGCGCTTAAAAGATGAATTGTTGACTAATAAAATCTGATTGCTGCTAACTTGCTTCAATTTTACAAAAAAATTTGTTTCCTGGGAATTATATTATTACTAAGTTTTTTTTTTTTTTTTTTTTTTTTTTTTTTTTTTTTATGATGCTTTGTTTTAATAAACTGCAATCTTTTATTTGAAGTTAATTCAAAATATTGAAAATAGAGTTGATCCTTTTATGTTTTCAAATACTTTTGTATCACATATATTTAAATAGCGGATTTTTAAACTATATAAGTTAAGCTGCTATGTCCTTTCTAACACTTTTATTTTTTTATGAATAAAATAGTATTCTTTTTTGAATATTTATGTATAAATTAGAAACAATAGTGCTTTTATGTTGTAAATTTAGTAAATTTTAAATAGCACAACAAAAGTGCATTTAAATTGCAGCAAAATTGAGTTCATATCGCATTTACTCAATATAAAAAAACTAAACTAGTTTTTCGGGGCTGAAAAAAAGTTTTTTTTTGTCTGTATCAAAAAACGCAGAAAAACAAAATTTATTTACATATGTAAACTTACCTTTAGTATGCAAATAAATATTGATTCTATTGCAACGATATATATACATATATAAAAAAGATTTTATTTTAATTTCCTTTTCCTTTTTTTTTTAATCCCTTCCCTCTTCTTTCTCCTTCAGACCTTGGAAACGTTTTCTTGACATTACGCTGGAGTAAAGCAGAAAAGAAACAATTATAAGTTTATTAGGGTGGGGCGAAATTTTTTTTTTTTTAATTTCTTTTGTTACACCCTTTGGTTAGTTCCATGCAATAAAATAAAAATGAGTTTAAAAAACTTTTGGCATAATGGTTAACATTATTTTAAGAAAATTGAGCACTATATTTTGCAGAATACATTTAAAATTATTCGCATATATATATAAAGGGGTGGATGCAGCATTTTTTAATATTTGAGAAAGCTAACTCCAAGACATGAAGCGAACTCTAAACATTTATATGTTTATACTTATGTCCAATAATGATGCGTTGCAAAAAAAGAATGCTAAGAGATTATAATAAAAATTTTTAAGTTTATTGATGAATAAAATGAAAAAAACTTTTATCAACTTGTTGCTCTCACGTTTGGGGTAGATGCAGCTAAAGGTTAAGGACTTTTTTGTAAACCAGACTCCTTGTTCTACATTCCCGTATTAAGGAGTTCTATATTCCCGTATTCTAAATTCCGTATTGAAGGGGAGGAGGGTTTGTTGTTGGGTACAATTGACCCCCCTTTTTACCTAATCCTCTTGTTTCATGCAAGTTTATATATATATATATATATATATATATATATATATATTTAAATTTAACAACTTGTTGCTCTCACGTTTGGGGTAGATGCAGCTAAAGGTTAAGGACTTTTTTGTAAACCAGACTCCTTGTTCTACATTCCCGTATTAAGGAGTTCTATATTCCCGTATTCTAAATTCCGTATTGAAGGGGAGGAGGGTTTGTTGTTGGGTACAATTGACCCCCCTTTTTACCTAATCCTCTTGTTTCATGCAAGTTTATATATATATATATATATATATATATATATATATATTTAAATTTATATATACATATATATATATATATATATATATATATATATATATATATATATATATATATATATATATATATATATATATATATATATATATGTATATATATATATATATATATATATATATATATATATATATATATATATATATATATATATATATATATATATATATATATATATATATATATATATACATATACATATATATATATATATATATATATGTATATATATATACATTTATATATAAATATATATATATGTATATATATATATATATATATATATATATATATATATATATATATATATATATATATATATATATATATATATGTATATGTATATATATATATATATATTTATAAATATATATATATATATATCTTATACTGCTGAGTTAGGTGAGCATGATGATGTCATATTTACCTAATGTCAAATAGCCTGCTGCCGGGGGCTTCAGTACATACATCGACTAACAAATAGCCTGACTTGCCGTGGAGTGCTGCTACATCGACTGAGGGTTTGGTATGGGTCAGCAACATTTTCATTTATTATTCTTCGTTTTCCCTCATCGTTTTCTAAAAACGCTCACTTAAATTAGGCTAGCAAAAAAAGTGAGCAGTATATATATATATATATATATATATATATATATATATATATATATATATATATATATATATATATATATATATATATATATATATATATATATATATATATATATATATATATATATATATATATATATATATATATATATATATATATATATGTATCCTTTGGAATATATATATAATCCAAAGGCTACAATCAAACGGTATCTTAAAGTTGCCTGTTGTTTTTATTTTGTGTTTATTTATTTTGTTTTTAAAAAAATGTGCTATATAATGTTCTGGACCCAGTCTTAGTTCATATTTAAACATGAAAAGCTTATTTTGATAAATATTTATTTGAAATATATTTAGTGCGTTCATTTGTTCCAGCAAGGTTTGAGCATGAGTAAATTTGTTTTCGTTGTACACTAGTCTTAAAGCATGTTTTTGACGTTAGTGAAGTTTTTCTAACTTAGATTTGTGGGTACTGCCCCATGTTATATTGACATACATACGATAGCTATGTATGAATAAAAAGTAAACAAGTTTTAGACTTTTTTGTGATAAAAATGGTGTTGCGTTGTAGATTAAACCTATGTTCTTTGATATTTTTGTGTTTATGTAGTTTATTTGGGGTTTCCAGGAGATGTGTTCGTCCATTAGAACTCCTAAAAACTTTGTATTCAGAGCTTTTTTGAGGGACATTTATTAATTATTGGTAGGTTTAGCGATATTTTTTTAATTTGTCGATTGGAGTAGAATAGTATATACTTAGTTTTTTCTATATTGAGTGACAATTTATTAGATTGGAACCATATATTAATTCTTTTTAGTTCAATATTTGTTTTTTCAAAGATTGTCTTTGAAAAGTAAAATAAGTTTATATCGTCGGCAAAAATTATAGTTTTAAAAATATTAGAGGCACTTGGAAGGTCGTTTATATAAATAAGAAACAAAAGAGGAGCAAGAATGGAACTTGAATGAACCCCACGTTTTGTTTTTAGTAAATTTGAGTTGTTTTTTGCATCAATAATAACACACTGTTGTCTATTGTAAAGGTATTTTTTAAATCGTTTTAAAGCCTGATTTTTAATACCATAATTTTTTATTTTTGTCAGTAACATCCCATGGTTGAACATACTAAACGTCTTTAAAAAATCAATAAAGATCACTAATCAGAATTTTTTTTTAATTGATTTACTTATCCTATTTGAGAGGTCAAGGATGGCATGCTCTGTTGATTGTAGCCTTTGGATTATATATATATTCCAAAGGATACATATATATATATATATATATATATATATATATATATATATATATATATATATATATATATATATATATATATATATATATATATATATATATATATATATATATATATATATATATATATATATATATATATATATATATATATATATATATATAAAGTGAAAAGTGTTTTAACGTTTTAAAAACGTTTTTTGTTTAATGATTTGCCAAAAAATAATTATTATGAAAATAAAAATATTATTTTAAAAAGTTTTTCAATACAATTAATTAAAACACAAGTATAAAGGTATTTTGTTCTTGATTTATTTAAACGCTTTAATCATTATCTTGTTACTTTAATCATTATCTTGTTACGCCTTACTAATTAATTTGTGCAGTCTTCATAAATAAATTGCCAGGTTTCCATGAATACCTAATTATCTTTTAAAATTCTTGCAAATATTGCTTGGAGAAATTAAAAAACTGATATAAATTATTAAAAGCGCATTTTAATATCTTTATAAATATTATATTTTTTAGCCAATGTCAATGGTTAACTATTTCAACTTTTCCTGTGATAATAAGTTTGTTATCTGCTTATACTTCAACAAATTACGTAATAATATTTGAACGGTTTTATTATTATATGAAAGTTTACCTCAAGTAAATTTTACTTTTATATTAAAAGTTAAATCAGAAACCACGTTTTGCTGCACGCGAGCATATTCTTTAAAAATCAAGTGACAATGCCAGGATGACTATAGCATTTTGCATAGTTTTACAAAAAAAATTTATTGATGTATGTATAAGTAATTTAAAATTCTAATTTCGTTCTTCGTTAGAGGCAATATTCTTTGATTATATTTACACTTGAAATTTGTACATTTACTTGAATGTACATAACAGATTTATATTCCGTTTTGATCGATTTATCCTAGATAAAATTCAAAATTATATTTGCTTTTTTATTGTAAAACGTTTCATAATAATATTGTTTATTTATAGAAATAACTTCAACAACACAGAAAAAGATAAAAGTGGAATAATTTCAAATGAACAGGAAATTATTTATCAAAAGCTCAATAAAAATCCTCGGAGTAATATAAAAAACAAATGTGGATATTTTATCTTCTTTCATTGATCTGTAAGTATATTTTTATTTTTGATAAAATAAAAAAAATCTTATAAAACTTTTTTATAATGTTTTAAAATAAAAGTAGTTTTATACATTTCCAAAATGTGGTACCTTTGATAAATAAGTTGCAAAAAATTTTTTGCTTGGAGAGCATTTCATTAATTTGGCAATAAACTTTTAAATTGTTTTATTGTGCTTTGAATTAATTACAAAAATTATATTTATAAACAATTAAACAGTAAAAAATTATTCAAAAAATATTATACTATGTTGATAAATTACAACAAATTCAAACTTTTTTTAAAAAAAGAATGAAAAGTTAAATTATATTTATTTAAAATTTTAATATCAAATTATAAACGTAGAATAAATTTGACCGGAGTTTGACGGTAAAACCGGTTGACTAGTGTTGTGATTTATTTGAGACTCTAGGATATTAGGACGTTGGTGTCCTAACTTCTAAGGATCAATCATTCAGCTGTTAATCAAGCTGTTAATAGGTATTGTCTGTCATCGTTTTGAAATTTTTTCAAAATGGTCGGAGGCAAAATCTATTTACAAAAAATAAGCTCGTACTAATATTCACTTTTTGAACAAATTTACGTGTCGACATGGGTACTTTAAAATCCAAACCAATGAACATTGTTGAGAACTTTTATAAAATCAACTAATACTGGTAGAATGTCAAAACCTAACAATAAAAAAACTCTTTGGTAAAATTTTTGAATGGTAATCCTGAAATAAGGTTTTATTTTTCTCATTGCAGCAATCGACATTTCTTTGCTGCTTTTATTTTGTGGAATATTTTTCGTTGGGGTTTTTTTCTTAAGGAAACTTTTCAGGGGTAATTTTTCAGTACGTCTATTTCCATTTGGATTTTTTTCAGAGCAATTTTTTCACTTTAAGCTGTAATTATGTTTTAATTAAACATAATTACAGCTCAAAAAGAAATAAAAACAAGATTGTAGACATTTGTAACAAAGGAAATTAAAGTGGATAAAATTTTCACAAAAATAAATGGGTCACACTGTTATGAATTGAATACACTGTTATGAAGTATTTTTGACAAAAACTTGAAAAAAAACAAACGCATTAGAATTGAGTAAAAAACTTCAAAAAATAAATAAATAAATAAAAAGCATAAAGAATAAATAAAAACATAAGGCATAAAAAACATCAGACAACTAATTAAAAGTAACATCTACTGAAGATATGCAAAATTTCGGAATGGTGTTAAAGACAAAATTGTTAAAAAATTTTGCTTTATGCCAAATAGGATATCCTTGTAACTTTAAAATTTAACAAATAGTTTGTTTAATATTTGTAGAGCATTTTTTAATATAAATGTATAAAATATAAAGTGAACAATCAGCTAAAACCTCTAACAAACAGGATTTTTTATCATTTTAAACAAACAGGATTTTTATCAAATTAATCTTTTTCCCTGTTTTTGTTTTTAGGGTAAGGCGGGGCAAGTTCGTCATGTTTTACTTTAAAAGAATGAGATTGCATATAAATAAGTAAACTTTTCTAAGTCAAAAGCATTTTTTTTTAAATTAGGGTCTCTACTTTGTTAATGTATTGAATCGAAATAATTTTTAAAGATACTTTAGCGTAGAACTAGATTTTTCATCATCAAAGTATTATTTTTGGAGTAATAGTAGGATGATTTCCGTAATCTAAAACAGTAAACCCTAAGTGACGTAGATGAAACTACGGATAGCCTACAGATAGCTACAGATGGAATTACCCTCAGATAACGACAAGATAGAATTACTGAAAGTCAGTTTCCTGATTTTTAAAACATCTAAAAGGATGTCATTTGCTAAACTTTTTCTAAAAAATATCAAATAATGATTTTGGTATAAATGAAAACTGTCTACCCAGTAAGCACAAAGACGTTTAAAAGACGTTTTAAAGATGTCTTTAAGGAGGTCTAAAAAGCGCACTTGTAGACGTCTAGATCATAAGGCTAAAAGACGTCCAAAGAAAGACGTCTTTATAAAAACGCGTTTTAGACGTTTATTTTAGGATGAATTTAAGTACATGACGTAACATTTTCGCGTAGTATGTGGTATATATTCATTGTTTTTATACGTCATATATTGTTATACTTTCGTATATACAAATTATACGTAGGAACCAGCAATCTTAATAATATAGCTATCACCACCTACGGTTAATAATGCAAAGATGAAAATAATATATAACAATAACAATTATATATCAAAACAGTATTTAAAACATTTATAATTTACTCTTAGTTATTATAAAATTTTACTTAGTCGTTGTTAGCTAATTTTTACACGATACTTGACTTATTATACGGCTTGTGGGTGTATAAAAACTAAATTATTTAACTAATATATACTAAATAATTACTTTAAATTAAATTACTTTTTTACACAATTGCTAAAATTGTTGTCACAGGAATCACTAAAATAATTGCTATAATATTAATATATCTTTTTTTTATTAATAATTATTTTGCTTTTTTAATAGATAGTTGACTGATCATGATAATAAGTGAAAATGGCAAGAATAATATATAAAATAAATATACTGATATTTATTTTATATATTATTCTTGCCATTTTCACTTATTATCATGATCAGTCAACTATCTATTAAAAAAGCAAAATAATTATTAATAAAAAAAAGATATATTAATATTATAGCAATTATTTTAGTGATTCCTGTGACAACAATTTTAGCAATTGTGTAAAAAAGTAATTTAATTTAAAGTAATTTACACTTAAAACTTGAACAAATTATTGAAAATAATAAAAACTATGTTTTTACTTTGAATATACGACATCTACTTAACGCGTAATGACAAAGCCGTCAAACAGAAGTCATAATGACATTTTTATAAACAGGTCTCAAAAAAGACGTCTTTTAGCCTTGATCTAGACGTCTTTTAATGCGTCTTTTAGACTATTTATTATGCGTCTTTTAAACGTCTTTTTAAACTTTAAAAAGACGTCATTTTAAAAACTTCTTTATAAAAGACGTCTAGAAGATGTCTTAAAAATTGACGTCTTCTAGACGTCTTTTTATCTTTTAAAAAGACGCCTTTTGAACGTCATTTTAAATACGCATTCAAATAAGACGTCTAAAAGATGTCTTCAAAACGTCTACTAAAGTGCGTCTTTACCTAGACTAGTTTTAGTCGTCTATAAGTGTCTAAAATGCGTCTTGTGTTTACTGGGTAACCACACTAGCGCAAAAAATAAAGCAATAACAAAAATTATATCAGTATGATAATTTAAAAACTTACAAGACGTTTATATGTCCTTTACACACATTTTTCGCATATCAACTCTAAAACATCCTTCACATGACAACTTAAACATTAAAGCCAATCTTCGTTTGCTTCTCCCCAACCTACACAAACGCAACATAAGTCTTTATCAGTTTTATTTTTTAGAATAAAACCACTAGATGAACTAGGGTGAACAGAATCAGCTGAATGCATATTATTTCAATATCCATCTCTATTGCTAATTAAATTGCTTCAAAAATAAATCATCCAAAAACAATAGTACTTTTTTCCCATCCACTTTTCTAAGAAACTCATTAAAATGATGTAAAAAAAGTCAATAAACATCTCTTAATCAATATATCCGCTTTTACTCAATGTACTTTTGTACCCAAAGGAAACTTAGTGTGCCACGTTTACCAATAGTTAACTTTTGCACCTCACGAGAGCTCTTTACACAAAACCATTTGGTACAGATGAAAGGCTGCTTTCATCACAATTATAAGTCAAATTTTACATACTTATTATTTATTATACATACATTTTAGACTATACATTATAGTAAACTGTTTACATGTGTCTTTACATGTTTTTACATTTGAGCCGTATTCACAATTAAAACTTTAAAAAGTTTTAAAAACTAACTGTAAACTAATATGTTCTGAAAAGCCTCTTATAGATAAAATCTGAAGCTTTGAAGTACATTTTTAGCACAACTTTATTTTCTTTTAAACGGCGCTCCATATTTTAAAAGTTTGCGTGATTAAAGAACCTAATTTATCTTATTATCTTTGTATTATCTTTTCTTTAACGACGAAGTTGCCCCTCATTTGAGCATGTAATAACAATCATTACGTGAAGATTCCAAGAGAAAAAACATAACAACTTAAATTGTTTTTTTAAAAATATTGACATCGATATTTCGAAAAAAATATACTTTGTGGTCAAAACATCGCGTATTTTGATTATTTTTTTGACGATAAGCATTTCAGCAGAAAAATATTTTTTCAACTTCGATGTTTACTCGCAATATTTAAAAAATAATCAAAGGAAAATATCTAAAACACTTATTTGATATTATTCTACTAATATCAGTTGAAAAAGTTTCAAAAAAACCTAGTAAATAGATTTCTTAGTTTTTATGCATTATTATTTTAAAGCTGAGTCGCATAAGTGACGAGTTCGCTCCGTGACGAGTTCACCCCGCCCTACCCTAGTTTCTTATTATAAAAAAAACGTTTTTTTAAAATCAAAGAATTAACTAAACTTATCTTCGAAATGTTGTTAATTATCATATTTTTGTAGCAATAAAGATATTAGTAAATAATCTGTAGCTCAGAAACAAGCGGCATCTCTATAGTAACGGTATTTCTATAGTAACGGCATCTCAATAAGGTTTTATTTATAAAGTTACAATTAGCTTTATTGTTTACAACATTTGCTAACTATTCTCTGTTTGAATAAAGCTACCAACTTTTTGCAATCAACTTAAGCAGCTGTGCGCAATGATTACAATGGTACCTTTTGATTTTAAAGCGCTTTCTTTTGAATTAAGTGGTACAAGGTTCGATGCCAGATCTGACCACATTAGCGATAATAGTTTGAAAGGAGATGTAAACTTCTTCAAAAATGTTTTATATTTATAACCATATAACCTTACATGCTCACTCACACACACACACACACACACACACACACACACACACACACACAAATACACACACACACAAGCCAAGTGTTCCTTATT